GGAATCCCGGAAAATAAACCGTGGAACTTTGACCAATGAGACAACAGTTTACTCGCGCGTGACTTGTATTAACAAATTTGGTTCGTTTAGAAACTTTGCCATGTGAAAGCGAACCGCTCCAAGAATAAAAAGCAACATTGTAATAATTTTAATCCCTGTTTCGGAACAAAGCAATCGATATACAGGTGTGAAAGCACCCTAAAACACCAGTCCAGTCTGTGCTGAAAGACTACTGTCAATCAACTATCGTGGGAGGGGCCTGTACAGAACTACTTCATTCTGACAGGAATCTCAGAACAGCCTGGTTTGACAAAGGGGATTTTAAAATAGGGATTTTAAAAAAAAACACTGGATGGATTTTTATAATTATAGGATGGATGTGTACACACACTTCCAACATACATTTATGTTCAAACTTGAAAAGTGAATTTTGCATCCGATGACCCCTTTAAGGAAATATTTTTGGGAACATAATGCAAAATATAATGTACAAATCAGCCCATTTATTTTTATTTATTTTTATTTTTTATTTTATTTATTTATTTATTCGGGTTTTTATTTTTTATTTTGCAGAATAATTGTGGATTTTTTATTTATTTATTTATTTATTTATTTATTTTAATCTAAATAATACATGGCTTAGGTTTGGGGTTAATTTTATTTATACAACTCTACTCAAGCCTCAAGCCATCCCTGTTTTGAGTTCAGGCCCAAAACTTAATTTTGCTGCTTCTCTGAGGAGATATGAATTAAAGGAAAGAGACAGAAGGAGACAAAGCGTTAACTGGACTGACAGTGTGGAAATGTATTGAGGGTCTATTCTTCTCTCCACACCCTCTTAGTTAAACTCCGAGAAAAGCTTTGATTTCCCCTGAGAGGAGGGAAAGGAGAACACACACACACACACACACACAACCCTTTCGGTCAAGTTTACGTCCTCTGTGCAAAGACGTGCTCCGCTGCCCTTTACAACAGTATTGACAGTGACTGACAATATATGATCAAATTAATGATGGCATAACAGGATGAAAGCAAAACGAAAACGTCTTTAAAAAATATTTTATTACTTATATATATATTCTGCTTGCACGTGAATTACTTTTATTTTAAAATAAAAAAGCAATTTATTTCCCCCTGCTTATTTCATTCTGTTGTCTAACAGCGTGTAAATATAATAAACTGTAGATGTGTGATGATGTGAAATTGTGTGGCCATTGGCTTTCCTTTAATTTTTACTCGTTATCTATTTTAACAAATTTTAAATTCAATTAATTGACATAGTGGTTAAAGGTCTGGGCTGGAAGCCAAACAGGTTTGAACCACACACCCTTAAGCAAAACACTTGGATAAACGCATCTGCTAAATAATTATTTTGTCAATCGTCAAACTAACACCTAGGCATTTTGAGTGTACATTTATAGACATGACCAGTAGATGGGGCTCGTGTAAAATCTACACATAAAACGTCTGCAAATAGTGTGAAGATCTTCAGAAGGATAAAATATCTGATCTTCCTCCACGTCTATTATCTATGCAATACTGCTACATGTTTCCTATACAATTAATCATACACACATTCTCATATCAAGAGGAAAATATAATGGATTTGGAAAATAAATGTGCAGAATAACTTGAAATTGGCTTTTATTGCAAAACTGTATAAAGTAGCTTCCATTATGAAAATATTTTGTTTGGTAGCCTCAAAATGTATTTCATGTGTTATAAAATGTAATGTCAAAGAAACATTGTAATGTGACTCAGTCAGTTCTAACACATCACATATGACATTAAAGGGCCTTGTCAGACAAAAATAGTCAAACACATTTTAACTTTTGACATTATAAAATAAGTTAAATTATAAAACCATTTAAATACTGTTTGGAGTAATGATACGTTCAGTGCTTCAGTCATACAGTAAGTGAATTCTAATCCAAATGCTTTTGCCGACAACATCTGCGTCCGGCGGTTACTGGCAGTGCTCCGGGTGTTTTCAGGTCTTCTGTGATTTTCCCATCAGCTGCATGAGGCCAACACTCAAAACCCAGGATTCTGATTGGCCAGTGCGGGGTCATATGACAGACATTCCACTTACAGGGTTTCTAGAGTTTCCAGATCCCCCCTTCTGTCCTCCCGTGCTCTTCTGCACTTTAGAAGCAGTTGGATATCTTAAATGGGGAAGTGTTGTTGGTGTTCTTCCTGTTGCAAATTAAACAAAAAAAAGTGCACACATTAATCGAATGCCTAATATATACTATGCATAAACATTTTTTTGTGGATACAAGTGCATACTAATTACTACTAACTAATACTAACTAATTGATTCTTATCCTTAGTAAAATGTATAGTTATTTTTATGTATACCATCGTATTAGATTTGTGGCTGATATTGTTTAGTATTAGTTCATTATTACTGATTGAGAAATGCAATTGACATAATAAAATGTCCGTACTTGTTCCAGCAAGCCTGCAGGTTAATTCCTTGTTTTGTTTCTGGACTCAAGCAGCGCTGGACGACTTCAGTGGAGTTATTCACAGGTTTTAGTGTCAATCTGCAGACATTAAAAATGCATCAAATTAATAAGATTCAGTCTAGCTTATAGGATTTCATGCAAAAAAGTTTACATACAGATTTATACTTTAAGATTAAAACCTTAAGTTTTATACTGTATGTATATATATATATATATATATATATATATATATATACAGCCAGTTTACAAAGTTA